TACAGCTATTTCTCAAGAGGAGAGATCTATTTTATAACCTTTAAAGTTAATGGAAATAGCTTTCAACAAACTCTGGGGCCTAGAGCTTGTTTTGGTTTTTTAAACAAATTAATTGGTGGATTTTAATCTTTTGTCCTCCCCTATACAAAACACAGCCTGACCTTTTAAATAAGATTTAATGTCTTCCACTACATATAAGCCCCTACCTCCTCCTCCATCTTCATGCTCCTGACTTACAGAGGATCTGCCATAAATAAACTCCCAGTAGAAACTAATGCTATAACATCATCTAAAATTTCATACAGAGATTGTGCCATATGAGGTTTTTTAAACACCGTTTAACATGGTCAGTAAATAAAGGGTTTTACTTTCACATCGGAATTCCTAAAAAAATAAAGAGATAAATTAAACAATTGCACACAGCTGAACCACTGTGACTGACTGACAGCTCAGCAGGTCTGTGTCTCCAGTACAGTACAAAACCAAGATTCTTGTTGTGAAGAACATCCAGGTTCTTTTACAGACAATTGCTCAGATTCTTCCTGAGCCATTCGTTGTCAGTGGATGATCCACAGTATAAATATTGTTAGTGGCTGACAACTACTTACTGCCAAAATTTTATAATTTAAAAAATAAAAAAAATCCCCCTCTTTTTCTGTGCTAGCCCAGTTCCCCCTTCCCCTCCCTGACTGCCTGGGCGCAGCGGCAGGCACGCCAAACCCCGCTGTCTGCTCCAGCCCCTGGTACCGTCCCAGGGACTCGCAGAGCCTCCCAAGGCACCAGCCACCTTCACACCCCTCTCTGTGGGCTCAAAGTAAATTATCCTCTCCTTACATGGCTACCAAAAGAGGAGAGGATTTTCGTGCGCATACGAGGAGGAGAAAAGGAGGAAATAGAAAGGAAAAAGGGAGATGGTAGAGACAGACGTATGAAGCCTTCTCACTCCTCCTGCCCCCGCAGAGGCATAGGAAGCATTCCCCATCACACTCTGCTAAACGCTTTCCTATAAATCCATTGTGTGTATTTCTTTAATATTTTTCAAAGCACAGAGCAATGCCCACCTGACAAGAATCAATGGAAAAAACCTTTTCCCTTTGTGACACAGCATGATCCCATTAAGCAGCCTCAAAAGATTCTGATCTGAGCAGCAAAGTCAGACCTTCCTGATCAATTCCTTAATCCATTTTGAGAGAATGGACTGATCTTGCTTTTTCAATTTCAGTCCAGGAAAAAATCATTCCCAACATAATTCACCATTAAATGGCCTTGTCTTACAAGAACTTCAGCTGCTGGCAGCAGATGAGGAGCAAGTCAGAATCCAGGAGAATCACCAGCACATCTAACATGCCTTCTCTGGGTCTCCCCGTTTCTACCCTGAAAGTCACTCAAAGCATTTGCCAGTCTTGTCCTTCATGGATTTTTAAAGATGTTGCTTTTGATGCCATAAATAATGTAAAAATTGATGCCTGAAGTGGAAATGATTCCCATACTTTTCCTCCAGAAAAACTTCAATTCATTAGGTTACCACTGCGGTTGCCATAATCTATGAAAAAAAGGGAATAAAACCAACACAATGCTGAAGTATTGTTGTCACAATAAAATGTGGTGCAGGCTGGAGATACTACACTCTACGTGCTGGCGGATTCTGCTGCAGAACTGAAGATGTTTTATTCCAAGATTGGATCAGATGCTGTGAATAGAGATGAGACATGAAGAGCATGTGCACCCGCTATATTCTGAACTCTCCTATGGGAATCAGGCTCAGATATGCTCAGAATGGAAGATTTGGGTTGGGCAATCTTCTCCATGGGAAGATCTGAGAACCTTCCCACTTCAATGGAAAATTATTCTAATGAAATGGTGTTGAAGTAGAAAAACTGTTCAGCTTGCTTCCTTAGCGGTGCCTAATTAAACCTATGCAGTGAAGATTACCCCACCGGCCCTAGACTGCCCTGGATCTGACAGAAAGACACCCACCAAGGACAGGTTGCCGTTGGCATCTGCTGGAATATATGCAAGCAGAGAGTTAGCTCATGACACTTTTATGCTTCTTGTCTTAATTGCAAGGGATCAGAACTGCCTGATGTTTTAGGCCTTTTCCCTCCTCAGGTAGCTGCTTCTTAATGCCATCTCCTACAGCAGCAGACAAATAATGACAATGAATGAAACAGAAGTATCCAAATGTTTGAGCACTCCCATTTTGTTTGCAGGATAGGAGAAACAATAATGCAAAGAATTAGCATTTAAAAAAAATAGGTTTGAACTGACTAAAACGTAACCCTGTAACCCTCAGGTCTCCTTAGTACCACAGACTTAATGTTTAATGGGCCACAAGCTCTGCCTTGAACTAAAAAACATTCTGTAGAATTACAGCATTCATTTATCTACAGATTCACCTGTATTTTTAGTTCTTCCGCTATTTTACTCAGTAACTGTGGCTAAAACTTCTACAGTAACAAAAAGACCAAACAGATCTCCAAACGCAACTCTGTCTACACACCCAGCGTGGGGTCACAAGAGGAGGAAGGACAGGGAAGGGAAGGGACTACCACTACTACTGAGAGCATCCTGCCCGGCGCAGAACCAGGAGATGCCGAGGATGAAACCACAGCCTGGTTTCCAGCTTTCTGAACATACATAACAGACCTGTGCAAATATATGTGTTAAAATCTACAACAGGTTTGTCTTCTGCCTTTTTATAAAGCAATCTTTAATCACGCAAATAGTTTCTTTTGATACATTCATTAAAGAATTTCTTTACCAAAAACTGTTACTACGTTAATGTTCCCAAATTCTTTTGCTTCATTCAACAATTTAGATAACTTCACTTAAGTTTTTCATATTCTTTTGTAATTCCAAATAACAATAGAAAGGTCCAAAACTAGATTGGTATTAGAAATACTCTGTTCAAAGATGTTTTTCCTTCCCTTCCTAATCAAAAGAAGCAGATGTTTTATAATGTCCATAGCAGGTAAGTTCCATTCCAGAAAAAGCATTCTTTATCCAAAAAAACAAGGTGAAACAGAGAGAGTTTAATATTTTAATGTGAAATTAAATTTTACTCTACAGTAGCATGTCCTTTGGATGGTTTTTTTTTTACTTGCCTCGTGTTTGCTTGCTGAGAGGAGGCAGTGTTTGGGGTGTTTGTTTTGGTTTTTACCTACGTGACTGCTAGGGACTCCTCTGCTTTAGTTCCATGATAGCAAGACACTGGGTACATGGGTAGGTGATTACTGTATCTCTGCAGTTCAGTATCTGCAGGGTGTCTGAATGCCACTCTAACTACTTAAACCCAGTAAAGAGATTACAGCTCACACTAACTGGATTTTCACAGCTCCGTATCATTCAGTTTGGATTCCTCATGCACAGATTAAGAGAGGCCATTAAAAGAATAGTCAGCTGCTCCCAAAGTGCAAGGTGGGGTAGGTGATTACTGTATCTCTGCAGTTCAGTATCTGCAGGGTGTCTGAATGCCACTCTAACTACTTAAACCCAGTAAAGAGATTACAGCTCACACTAACTGGATTTTCACAGCTCCGTATCATTCAGTTTGGATTCCTCATGCACAGATTAAGAGAGGCCATTAAAAGAATAGTCAGCTGCTCCCAAAGTGCAAGGTGTCTTGGTAAAAAAAAAAAAAA